TTCCCACTCTTGTGAAGTTTTCATACTGGAGACTTCACTCTTCTAAACACATGTACCTAGCCTCCTTCTTCACCTATTGAGCGCATAGCAAGCCTCTCTGTGGTGGTCAATTTGTGGCTTTCAAGAAAGCGTTCTTGCATCTTGACGTGGGTGGTGTGGATCAACGTGAGAGGGTTTGAACCCTTCAAACCTAACATGGATCGTCTTGGAGTTTTGAACTCACAAACAAAGGTAACATCACATGCCATAAAGCATGATTCTTGATTGCATGTGTAATTCCGCATATGAAAAATTTTGTTTTTCCCTCTCACATGCTACGGCCATCAAGGCCATTTTACTTTCAGCTGCCTCATCGTACAAGTACAAATATCACATCCATACATTACATCAACAGACATATCCACAATCTCAGGAAAATATTAGTATATATATCATTTTCACCAGAGCATACTGTAACATCCCGAGCGCTGACGAGGGCAGGGAGTGATCGCTGGTGCAAAGAGGCACGGACAAGGAGCGGCTCCTGACAGGCTTCCAGCAGGGGGTTACATGCATGAATGAATCGAATCGACACCCGAAAGAGAGGGATTACAAAGGTTGTGTAGGTATAAGGCTGCACAGTTTGGGATAACTTATAAGAATTAATTTGTACTACCTATGCTAACAAGATGCATCTGCTTTTCGGTAGCCCGGATCGGAAGAACTCCACAGTTAAGCGTGCTTGACTTGGAGCAATTCTGGGATGGGTTACCTCCTGGGAAGTTTTCCCGGGATGTGTGCGAGTGAGGAAAAAGCACACTGAAAAGTCTCGTGTTGGAATGTGGGGATAGTCGTTGATTCTTGAAGCGGCTAGGCGTTACAAGTGGTATCAGAGCAGGGCCTCTCATCCAGTACGGTGTGGTTCGAGGACGAACCAGGCGGAAGCTGGTGGGCATGTAACATCCCGAGCCCTGACGAGGGCGGGGAGTGATCGCCGGTGCAAAGAGGCACGGCCAAGGAGTGACTCCTGACAGGCTTCCAGCAGGGAGTTACATGCATGAATGAATCGAATCGACACCCGAAATAGAGGGATTACAAAGGCTGTGTAGGTATAAGGCTGCACAGTTTGGGATAGCTTATAAGAATTAGTTGGTACTACCTATGCTAACAAGATGCATCTGCTTTTCGATAGCCCGGATCGGAAGAACTCCACAGTTAAGCGTGCTTGACTTGGAGCAATTATGGGATGGGTGACCTCCTGGGAAGTTTTCCCGGGATGTGTGCGAGTGAGGAAAAAGCACTCTGAAAAGTCTCGTGTTAGTATGTGGGGATAGTCGTTGATTTTGAAGCGGTCAGGCGTTACACATACCATGCGCATAAACCACCCTCCCATGGAGGTTGGTGGAACAAACAGAGGAACAATCCGAGGACCAGAAGCTTACCTGTACCCGTATGCCCCTCTGACTCGAACTCGGTATCACAAGGGTCCACACCACAAATAGAATCCAATGCACTCATAAATCTGGGTTCAATGACCATCATAGTATCAATATACATATTCTAAAATTCCAAGGCAATCGAATATTTTTTTTTTATTTCGAACCTACAGATTCTTTCTAAGACGTACCGTTTAAATTATTTAATTTTAGATGATTATTATCTTATAAATATATATATATATATATATAAATATAAATAGCCACAATAATATATGTATATTATATATAAATATATATATATGTATTATATATATAATTCGAGAACAGTAAGGTTAATAATATATAACTTTAACAATATAAAGCTTTAACAAATCTGAGAACAGTAACGTTAATAATATATAGGGTTTTATAAGTGTTATGTTGTAGGAAAGATGATTGTGTTATGTTATAGAGATTCGTTTTGCGTGCTGTAGTTTTTTTTTTTAAAACATGCGGGTCCCACAAAATATTGTGTGTGTAAAAATTTTTTCATGATCATGTCAAATGATAGATATAAATCCCTAATATATAACTTTAACAATATAAAGCTTTAATAATGTATAACTTTGACGTGGATAAAGTATATAACTTTGACACACATATATATATATATAACAACTTGGACCATCTTGCAGTGGCGGAGCCACGTTGGCGCCAGCAGGTGCCTTGGCACTGGCTAATTTAGCCACGTTTCTTTAGCTACGTTTAAACGTAGCAAATCATGTTTCAAGTTTTTTGAAAACTAGCCACGTTTTGGTCGTAGCTATATAACCGTGGCACCAACTAAATTTTTTGGCACTGGCTTAAATGTCTTGCTGGCTCCGCCACTGCCATCTTGGACGTAGAAAATGCATTATCTTCATTGACTATCAGAGACTGATTTCATGTAAGAAAAAGGTGCAGAATTTCATTTTAAATCACGCAATTCGATGAAAGCAAAACATACAAAAATGACAAAGCCAATGGCTATGTAACCGAAGAAAAGAAACGCAGAGAAATTTCAAAAATGCCAATGTAACACTAACACATAACAAGAGTTATAACCAATTTATGAATTTAAAAGGGGAGAGTTAAGTTTACTTGGATCCTTTTGAGAACAGAAAAATGAGAACTTTAGAGGTTGAGAAAACACCCAAATCCTTCAACAATGATTTCTCCTTCAACAAGACTAGAACTTTAATGATTGGTGGTGTTTCAATGGAAGAGAGGAGGAGAAAAATGAAAACTTTGAAAGTTTTCCAAGAGAAAAAACCAAGTCTCCAAGAAGACCCCAATGACAGCCAAGAAGACTGAGATATGTTAAAAGCTTAGGGTTTTTATCCTCTTTCTATTTATATTGTCACTTAAGTTAAACTAGCAGTATTAGTTTAATTAGTTCTTCTCTTCGTTTAACTCTAAAATTTTAGATTCTTAACCTAGATATTTTTCTAAAAATTTTTATATTTTTATTTTATTTTTTTGCAACACTTTTCCGGTACGCGTTTTCTTGCTGTCGGTATTAGTTCCGACACCAATTCTCATTATTTTGACTCCAAACTTGATATACTACTCCCAGATATTATTCTAGTAATCTATACATACTTTTTATTATTTTTCGGGATACTTCATTGCTACGCATTTATATCGTGAAGCAGAACCGGTATCTGCAATTTTCTTCAGGAAAGCGACTTTCAACATTATTAATCACTTATTATAATTATTTAAGCTCAATCATAATTATTCAAGATTAATTATGGAATTTATCTCTTAGCTCATAATTAAATTAATTAAATTTCTAATTTAACGGTGCGAGTTGTTAGAATATATAACCTGATTATGATACCATGCAAGCATAAACTTTTAAGTAAATGATATCATTATGTTGACATGTTATATATCATGATTATGAAACATGCAATCTGGGCGGTGTATTGTACTCACATACACTTGGATTATTGAACCGTTCGCATGAATCCCAAGTGAAAAGGAGAGGTGGCATGTTGGAGGACGAGTGGTAGAGGGCATATGGATGAGTGTTCTTCATGCAAAATCAAAAGAGTATTCAAGGCAAGAGTGGATGTTAGCCATATAGGTCACACTGTTAAGCTCTGAAACTTAATGGTAAAATTTCCCGTGTTCATGGGGATCCGCTAGGATTACCCCCAACAAGACAAAATATGGGTATCCGTTTAATAAATGGAAATAAGAGCATCATAACGCACACCCTATAGCTACCGTGAAAAATATTGTTTTTTATTTAATATTCTACCTATATTATGAAGTTTTTCTCTTTTACTTACGGGATTTGCTTTCGTCCTGTTACCTAATGGATGAATAGTTTTTCCTGCACAAATAGAATTATGGAGGGGCCATTTTAAAAAAATAAAAGAAAAAAAAATAAAAGAAAAGGGAGATTTCCGATGTATCAGTAGGATATGATTTCATTGTTATGTTATATGATAATTGGATTTCCCTTTACTTAATTTCACTTTGAAATGAAGTGAAAATTTATATTTTCTTATTAATGTATAAAGAATCTTTTATTGAATGAGCATAATGATGTTATTCAAAAATAGATATGATTCATATAATAATTATTTACATGGATTAGTTATTAGAAAATATAATTTATTTTTAAATTGTCTTTAAATCTTGTAAGTATTTTAAATTGTCTTTAAATCTTGTAAGTATTTTAAATTGTTGAATAAATAACTACTTTGAAGCTTTGCCATTGTCTGGATGACAACGTATTAAGCTGTGCATATATTCATTTAAAGGTCAAACTTGCATTAATACTAATTATAACTGTGACTTGGACCGAAGTATTGTCATCACCTAACCCGTTTCCTTATGGTGGGTATTCAGGAATATTTTCTGTGCCATCTTGCAAGTTAACATTGTATGATTATCTTTTCTATAACCTTTATTTCCGAACTTTTATCATAGAAACACTGACTTCCTTGACATTTGAAACAAGTCCAATATTGTATGCTTCGTTTACCCAGATTTAATTACCATCTTAGAAATAACACATAAATAATAAAATGGTGTAAATATGGTTTTAGTCTCCATAGGTCTACCCATTTGCATTTTAATCCTTATAGTTTTTTTATCAGGATACATTGGTAGGAATTGAACACAACCTAATATAACCTACCCAAATTCCTCACCACTAAACCAATCTTAGTGGCTTTAATCCTTATAGTTTTTGTTTTAATATTAGTCCTTGTTTTTTAACTTTGTTATTTATTTTTGAAAGCGCTTATATTTTCACTCATATGCTTTTGAATATCTACCATTTAAGGTATTAACGCATATATTCTTCACTCTTTAGCGTTTTCCTGTAAGTTTTACTCATTATAATATTGGTCTCTATTTTTTAGGAGGGATTATAGTCCATGTAATTTCTATTTACTAAGGTATCATGAGAGACTAAAACCCAAATAAGTAAAATATATGGACTTAAAAAAAATATAGAAACCGAAATTTAAATCGACAAAGACTATGAGAACAAAATTTTTATTTAAACTTAATAAATCCTCTCTTGAGGTTATTAATATGGCACTATATTTGTGGAGTTTGGAGATGGCCATCCATCATACATAGTTAAAAGTGCTATATTGATTATTATTACATAGAGATGTTTAGCAACTAACATACAATTAGGTGCTAGATATGATAGTACTAATCAATTCCCTCACGTGCATGAGCTTCAGCTTTGATCTATATTGCTTTCTATTATTCAGGGACTATATAAGGAATCCAAGCACCAACAGTAGTAGTCAGACCTTGAGATTTCTAGCATTTGTTCAGGAGTCATTCTTTCAAGCTCACTTTGCCTCCACGAAGCAAAATTATTCCTGTTCTGAGCGTCGGATGCCAATGGATAATCCTCTATTTTGTGTACTTGGGATCTCATTCTCATGTAGAGCCTCATTGTTGCAACACAATCATCGTAAGGATCCTGTATCCCAGTTTGAATGTCATACCTGCATATTTATGCAAATGAAAACAAGAAGCGTCACTTTCTTTGACGGGGGAAGTTATTTTTGCACCGGTTTAATAATAAGAAATTTTACATTCATTTTTTACTATTTATCTACTCGTATCTAATGATTTACGTAACTACAAAATTAAACTCAGTTAGATGAAAGTGAAATCAATCGTGCACTAAAATTGAGTGTATATGTTATGTCGGTATAAAATCATCCTGACTTGTTTGAAAATAAGAATAAAATTTTGTCAGACACTTACCCAAGATATGCTTGTGTTAAGTACTTGAGTGAGTTGCTCAGCTTGCTCGTTTTCATCAGTGGAGGGTATTTTGCAGTGTCCCTGTTGAGATAAATATTTGTTCAACTTGAATTCCATGTAAATATTTAAAGAAAACCTCGGAATTAATAATAAACGAATGAGAAAAAGAAGTATCCTTTTGATTGACACAAGCTTGTGTCATTTTAGGTGTTTTACACAAAGTATGACCGGTCGTACTTTGTGTAAAACTGAAAAGTTTTTTTTTTTTTTCTCACTCCAGTCACATCGCTGACGTGTAAAGTGAAAAAAAAAGTAACTTTTCAAAATTACAGTACGACCGGTCGTACTCTATGTAAATCACTAAAAGAACATAACTTGTGTCTTTTTGAATGATAGACACTGAACCCTAAACGAATATAACTACCGTAGGGTTAAATGAAAAGTGCTCTATTGTTACCCAAAAAAAAAAAAAAAAAAAAAAAGTGCTCTATTACCTAAAATAAAGTTATATAAGAATTTCTAAATTTATGAACAGATTGTTTGATTTGAGATGTATGATGAGAGAGTAAATAATCAATTTACCTTATTTTTTCTGCTCGATATTCTATTTGTAAACATTCTAGATCATGATCTAAACCATGACCCACAAGAATCCTGGCTTTTCCGCCTCTTGCTCGAATTGTCCACATAGGTTCTCCGTTGCAAAGAAAGTCCTGAATCTTCCTCTGAACTTGTTTCATTGGCATTGCATCCCTCAAGTATTCTTGTCTAATGCCTGTAGACTCATACCTGTTCAGCATATACATGATTAAATTAACTATAAAGGTCACGGATTCTAGTATAAGGAACCCTCTTTTTGCAAAAGTACAATTTAAGACTCCGTACAATTGCTACCCTAGCAAACAGGAAGCCTTCTTTATTGGGTTTGTTTGTTTCTTTTTATTTATTTATTTATTTATTTAAGAATTGATGGAATTATATATAGCTAACCTGTAGTTTGTGATTGGAATTGATGGCTTCACATAAGAGTGGAAAATTATGTTCTCGTGCTCATCGATTATGCAGACTCTTGCACAGAGATCCAATGAACCATCACTGCCACCACCAACCATTTTACAAGCTAGTGCAACAACTTGTGGTCCTCTTCCTCCCCCACCAATAGTCAAATTATCACGAATACCCAAGTTTGAAAAGCGACCAACAAGTATTCTCTAGAACAAGGTGCAGAAAAAGTTATTATACACTTCAAAGGATTTTCAAAGAATAAATATAAATCCTCCAAATAATTCTATTAATTTTCTAATCAAATTTTAAAAGCATTTCTTTTTCATTCAATACATACCATATTTTATTAAATAATAAGAGAAATATTAATATCAAGTTTATGCCAGAAATCATTTGCAAATTCTTTAGTTCACAAGTTAGAAGTTGATACAGCATTTATTCCAGAGAGTTGGCAATTTTCTTGGTGGATCCTTCGAGAGTTAGGGCTATCAAGGACTTTCAAGCAAAACTTGCACCCTCTGTAGGCAAAAATATCTCTGCACTCTTGTTTTGGCAATGGACCTGAAAAAGAAGATTAAGTCTCATCACAAATTCTCAAAAATTTCTTCAAGGAAGAAATAAAGTTTGCGTAGTTAATTTGCTTAACAATTCATGAAGAGAATATTACCTATAAGATGTTCCCTTAGAGACTCAAATGACCTGCAATGTTTCCTGCAAATGCCACAGATTGGTTCATGAACCGAATGGTATGAGATCCTCATATGCTCCACAAGGTGCTCCAGTTTGTTGAACTGTCTGAAGCATGCTGCACACTTATTCCTAATGTCATAAAACCTATGTTACTTATATATCCATGCATTTGTAAATATAGAATTTTTATTCCACTCAATGTTTCTAGTTATGATGCACACATGCACTGCTAGGTATATATGTGTATGCTTGTGTGTGTTTGTGCATGGGTGTGAGAAAGAAAACCTGTGAGTTTCTGAGCACTCAAGTCTGCAGTCCATAATTCTTTATACTAATTTTTTATATTCCTTCTGAAGGACTATAGAAAAGACTTGGACTTGAGGTCATATGTAGGAGTAAGATGGTATTTATAGAGTTGAGGGATAGGTCAAAATTGCTCCAACTTGCATAAATGGACGATTCCTAAAGGCATTATTCTTTGTATTTCTGATTCTCCCACACCCATTCCACTACCTTTTATTTTTATTTTTATTTTTTAATCTTTGGGTAAGCCTGTTAGAGAATAATATAAACCATTAAAAAGGCCTTCACCCAACACCTTAAGGTTTTGGGTTGAAATGATTCTTTACATGATATGAGACCTCCAGTGACCATAAGGTCACGAGTTCGATCCTCACCGCCCTCAACTTGTGAAATTAAATAAGATAAGATAAACCAAAAATTGAGCCTGTGCAATAATCCACGCTTCAAGCTCAAAGGGCTCTTACGTGAAGGGGTGCGTTAGAAAATAATATAAACCATTAAAAAGGCCTTCACCTAACACCTTAAGGTTTTGGGGTGAAGTAGTCACCCAACACCTTAAGATTTTAGGTTGAAGTGGTTCTTTAAAAAGTCTTCTCTCACTATCTTGTTACCTTGTTCTATTGGGGACATTGCCTATGTTGTCACAGATTTTACAAAACTTTGCTGGATGCCAAAGGGGCAAATTTTTTTCCAAAATGTCACGGTGGCAAACCCACTGTCAATGGCAACGAGTTTCAAATGCCACGTGGCACGTTTCCTTAGGCCACCAAACTTACTGTCAGTGGCAACGAGTTTGGTGGTCAAACTTGTCTCTGCATCAGGTACACGTGTCTAGCAGCCTGAAACTTGGTGTCAGTGGTAGTGAGTTTCTATCAAGAACTCGCTGCCACTGACAGCGAGTTCTAGGCTGATTGACATACCTTATAAACTCGTCATTAATGCCAGTGGGTTTCAGCTCATAAACCCCCCCTCCCCGCTCCCCTATTCACAATATCTTCTCGTTGAAACTCTATATGCTCCCCTTGCTCCCCAATTCGAGATATTCCCCTATTTTTTCTGTGTTATTTCCTCCCCTTGTTTTTTGTTTAATTTTTTAAAAATTAGTAGCAGTAGTGATTCGTTAGTTGCCATTGTGTACTACAATGGGAAGAGATATTATGGTCCTAATGATCCCATTTTTTAAGGAGATACAAAAATGTTCCGCATGAGCCCCTAGTGTAGTTATAATGCTCTAAAGAAGAAAATCAATAAGAAGTTTGGATTACAACAGGGTCAATCCTTGTCTCGATTGATTGCTAGATGTGCCTGTAATGAGATTGTTGAGAATGAAGATGTCACATTAGGAGTTGATGCATTTCAAAATCAGCGAGACACCATATTTATTGAACTATATGCGGAAGTAGACTTTGATGGACAATCTAGCAGTCAGCATTCACTCCCTTCAATTCTCTCCATTGACATCAACAAGAAGCCCAGTTTTGATCCTGAAGATAGGTATGTCTTGTAACACCCTGTGTGCACCTGGTGTATTAAACATATAAATGGTAAAAAGCGCAGCTCAATAAATGCAGAAGCTAAAATTTTCCAATTATGAACCTTATCATATTAACTAAGTGGATTTATTTATTCTTTTTCAAAAACCGCTTGTATGTAAATTGCTATAAATAACTAAACTGAATAGCCTCATAATATAAATAATGTATCAAGTCATCGAACTATGACACGTAGACCAGACATGTCCTGATACAACAATACAACTCCAGTCTGAATAACATAGCTTATTCAAATGTGGCCTGGACAACCCCCATGCTCACCAAATAAAGCAGCATAATCATGAAATCATGTCTCAAGTACAATAGCCATAAAGATGCAACAGCAAGGCAGAAATCATAATAACATAGCGAGGTATGTGCATCATCTCAACTCAACTCTGGCCTCCTGCCACTAGAGGTCTCAACCTCAGAAGTACCTGTACCTTGAAAATGTGCCCCACATGGGATGAGATCTCTAACAAGAAATCTCAGTTAGACAAGGGGTCCTCAAGGATCTCTCCACCCCATGCTCACTTACATGTGCAATATAAGTTCAAAAATTATAACAATAGTATAATGGCAAAATCTGTGCAATGCAGCATATGTCCATGTCATGTGTGTATGCATCCTACTGGCCAGAGAACAAAAAGTAGGCACTACATACGTCTACAACCCACTGTACAAGGAGTCCACCATGTACCTCACAGACGGAGTTACCATCTTGCATGTGGCCCGTCATGCTCAGGGATTATCGTCTCGTGTGGAATACCCCACATACATATACATATGGCAATGCATTATATCATAATCCAGCTCAACAGCATACCCACTATTCATCACATAAACAAATATATTTTAGAAAACACATCATGCATATAAACCATTCCTCTATGAGGTTTGATGGAACCATCAATGGGTAAAACCAAGGACACGAAATCTTACATGCAATGCCAAAATCCCAATCCAAAGGCTCGATATACACAGATACACTAACAGTCACACAATCCGACAATTGCAATTTTTTTTATATCAATAATATTATTAGTAATCAGAATCCCAATCTCATAGCAATTGAGCAATGTTTTCTTTTTCGTTTAGTGACTCAAGTCCCTCATAAACCATAATTATAGTATATTAACTCTCACTATTATTTGTATTTATTCTTTTGGCAATAACACTAACTCCCTAGAGTATCATACCCTAATTGGGGCTTCCCTACGCATCAGAACTGGTTTCTGGTCTTTCTGACAGGGGGTAATTGATTACCATACAGGGGGTAGTCGATTACTCCACACGATAATCGATTACCATGACCAGGGTAATCGATTACTCCACATGGTAATCAATTACCAAGCAGACGGTAATCGATTACTACGCGGACAAAACACGAAAACTGCAGATTTTTCTGCATAATCCGCGAGTTCCATGGCTTCCAAGGGTCCAAGGTCCAACTTTTTATCAAACAAAAGTTCAAACCACATGATTAAACATAGATATAGCATATTTTACATGAATCATTAAGGTTTCCCCTTTTTACTTCACAAACTAAGTCATTTTTAAGAAAATACAAGGGGAATGGTTTGTAGTTACCTGTGGACCTTTGAAAACAGAAAAATGGGGAAGTTTTGAGGACTTTGAAGGTGCTCCAAGCTACTGACTTGGTGGTGTATGAAAATCTCACTCAGAGGTAGGTTCTTTCTTCACAAAGTTTGGTTCTTGAAGCTTCCTAGAGTGTAATCATGGTTCACACTCTAAGAACTCAAGTGGTCAGCCTTTCCATTCATGCAAACATAATCTCAACTCTCAAGACATGATTTTTCTCTCACAAGACTCAAGCTTTACAATGTTTAATGGTGGTTCTACAACATAAGAGTGGAGAAATATGGAGAAAGGTGACTTCTTGGATATGTTTAATAAAAAAATGCTCAAGTTTTCATGAAGGAGGAGAGGTGGCAGCCATGGGGATCATCCTTGGGGTCTGAAAACTGACCTAGGGCTTTGTGACAATGGCTATTTATATAAATATGTTCACTAATCAATAATATTAGTTCTAATAGCTCCACTAATCATTTTCCTACTGAACTTTATATTCTGAACCTAGACAATTTTCTAGGAATTATCATATTTTTATTATAATTTTTCGAAATACTTCACTGGTAAGCGTTTTATACATAGCCGATATTAGTTCTGACATCACTGCTTATTATTTTTACCCCAAACTTGATATCCTTAACCTAGATATTTTTCTAAAAATATTTGTATTTTATTATAATTTTTTAGAATACTTCATCGGTACGCATTTATACCGTGAAGCAGAACCGGTATCCGCACTTTTCATCAGAAAAACGATTTAAACATTATTTGACCTTCTCGATAATTATTCTAATCTTTCTATATCTATCCAAAGTCAATTATGGAATTATTTTTTAAACTCATAATTAAATTATTTAAATTCCTAATTAACGGTGCGGGTTCTTACATGTCTTACCCCCAACACCCTCACCCTCACCAATGTCATTTGAAACGGCATCAGACTTGGCGCACAGATAGCTTTGAGGAAGAGGTGGATGAAGGTATTGTTTCAGAAAGTGACTCATCGGACACCGACGTCGAGGGTGATTTCAATTCATATTCGTCTACTGGGTATGTCATCTAATTCCTTCTCGGGGTAATGTTGGAATGCATTACCCAGCAGTGGAAGGTAAATACTTGTATGAAATAATTTTTTTTTGATGAAATTTGTTTACTACACATTTGGTTTATTCCTACGCATGTGAAGATATACAAGACATCAGAGTTCTCCATTACGGGCTCAGACAAGTCACTATACACATATTAATTAGGCACACTTAGATCAAGAGATGCCTACAATTAAGGAAGTATACCTACTTGGCAAATGGATTAAGAGCTATATAAGGACCAGGTCTTTGAGTACAAGCACGATGTATAGATGGGAATAAAGTAATTTTGTATGACGAATTATCACACAATTGTTATAGAAAAAAATGATGCCACAAGATTGATCATGTAATGTGAAAATCACAGGACGATTGTCCGTGGAGGATGGGGGCACAAGTAAAAAAGGGCGGCACTGACTGGGTTATTGGCAAATGGGTTAACGAACATGCATGTGTTAACCAAAATCTTTCCCAAGATCATAAGTAGCTGGACTCTAATTTCATTTGTTCAATGATCATAGGTATGGCAAAAATCTAATTTTCAATAATATATATATCTTACTTATTCATATATAATTTTTTGTTGATATGCATAAATGATAACGGAGGAGCCCAATGTTAAAATAGCTCTAATCCAGGAAAGGATAACAACAAATCATGAGTTTCATATATCATACAGAAAAGGCATGGAAGATAAAACAAAAGGAATTTGTTAAAATGTATGGAGATTGGGATGACTCTTATGCATTTCTGTTACGATGGTTGGATTCCATGTTGCTCTTTTCCCCAGGGGTTATTTATAAGCTAGATCTGAATGATCATTTTATTGATAATCGACTGGAT